AACCGTGTCCCTCAACACAACATCCAGTCTTTCCTTGAACATCCCCAGTGTCGTTGACTCCCTGGGCAGTCCATTCCAGAGCTTTCTTAAAGCTCTGTGCAATTACACTCAACAGCCAGCCTAAAACCTGCACAAAGTTTCTTGCCAGGGTCAGGATGTGTCAGCATTAATGCAGTTTGCACCTCCAACACTGCCTGCTTGTGTGCACGCTGTGTGATAAGGCAGTGAGTGCTGACTTCTCCCTTAGTTCGCTGGATTGGTTCTGCTGTCTGAATGAGCAGTTCCTTGACAATTTGCTTCACTTTTACTGCTCAAGTCTCAATCAGTGTTAATTCCTTTATTCACATTATCTTTCACGTGCTACCCTAAACATAGCTCTTAATAAGGGAAGATTAATGCCTGCAAATTTCCGTATGCAACATGTTAAAGTTCCATCAGGCATCAGTGAGTTTCCTGCTCCACTTTGGGGACAGGGACTACATGGCATCTGGAAGACTGTCTGGCTTTTGTATTTCTGATTCTGTATAAAGACACCCACAGAAATTTGCCCATATTTCTGTTGCTATACTCTCTTGTACTTTAATATACATACTGATATGAGGAAAACTTTACAAGAGAGAGATTCCTGTCTGTGAATACACTGCAGCAGATATTTAAACACAGATATATACTGAAGGAGAAAGTTATGTGATAACTGCAGGCAGTCTCTGCTGAGCAATGGCCTTTTTGTTGTTGGCTAGAAGCAAGAGGAGCTACAAGTCTGAAGCCACAGGAAGACTGGCCCTGTGTGAGTGCAGCTTCTGTGAATATCTGAGATTTTGCTCAATCCCAACTGGGTTTTGCATCACTCTGAGGTGAAAACATTTCTCTTTTCCTTCCACAGAAAAATGCATAGGTATACTTATCCTGACTTGTAATCCCAGACCCATTATCCTTGCCTGTGCTAGCATGTACTGCCTAAAGAGAGACAGATAGACAGTGGGGATATTACATGTCCCAACAGGAAAGCCCTGATTTCATTTCACGAGTTATCTGTGGCCTTATTGCATCAGAAATGTCAGCCATGAGTAATCCCAGAAAGGCTGTGACTGATGGGGAGCAATAAATAACACAGCAGAGGAGCCCACACGGCTATGTGTGTGTAGATGTGGAGCTGGTTCTCCCATTTGGTAGTTAGAATTCTCTTGAATATGCATCCCAGGTCTTTCCTTAGTGAGATGGTGAGTATGCAGCTGCAAGCTGGCCCTGCTCTTGTCCTTATAACAAAACATAGGGCCCTGCTTTGATCACTGCTGCTCAAAGAGCATGCCCAGATGGAAAGATAGGAACAGCTTCCTGAGTGCCAACCAGTAGATCAATCTCCAGTGCAATGAAAATGTCATCTCTGCTTGAAAATATGTAGCTGAAAAGCTTCTTTCCTGGCACACAGAACAGGGTGATCCTCTCCTCTAGGTGATCCCTGCTTATGTCCCACAATGACAAGAGGTGATGGCCTCAAATTGTGCCAGAGGAGGGCCAGCTTGGATAACAGAAAACATTTCTTCTCCAAAAGAGCAGTGAAGCAGTGGCACAGCTTCCCAGAGAGGTGATGTGGTCACCATCCATGGAGGTGTTCAATGTGGCACTGAGGTTTGTGGGCAGTGAGCATGGTGGGAGTGGATTGGGGTTGGGCTTGGTGATCCTAAAGGTCTTTTCCAACCTCAATGACTTGATGATTCTATCTTATACAGTGTGTTCAGTAACCTATAGACTTCTAATAGCGTTCTGGTGACCTTATCCTGAAAAACTGCAGCTTGCTCCTGACTTGCATTGTAACCCATGTTGCTCTTCTTGTTGCTCCTTTTGATCTGGTATCAGTAACAGACAGTGAATGAGAGATCACATGTCACACTCTACAACATGTCTTGTAATAGCATAAAGGATAACATTTGCTACCACAGACTGGAAAGCTTCCTACAGATTTTGCTGCCACATTTTGTGGTGTCCTGCATCACAACAGAAGCACAATATTGAAAATAGTGAAGCTGGATAAAAAAAAAACATTGTGTATCTTCAAAGTTTGGCCTAGTTTATCTTGCAGATAACAATTTCCCACTTGTGCTAAAAATGGTACTACTTAGAAAACAAATCAAGTCAAAACAATGACTCTTATGTCCCCAGAGAAGCAAACCCTAATGAGGGTTCACCACTACTGTAAGCCACACTGAGCCTAGTGGAAAAGTTAAGCATGTGAATAGCACTTCCTATCACCAACAGACAGCAGGATGGTACTGGGGTCAGTGGTAGAAAGTTAGAGGATATGGTATTAATTAGAGAAAATAAGTCTTAGACAAATTCAATTTCTTTCTATTGTAGATGGAATATGCTTATACTTGGGTAAGGCTCAGTAGTGCACAACATCAAAAATAACATTATGCAATATCAAGAGCATACACAATAAGGTTGCCAGGCATCAAATCCCATGTCCCCTATTAAAAGCAGATGGGATATTACCTTTTTCATATTTCCCATCTGCTTTTAATACAGATTCAGGATCTGAAGCTGAAATATACTGCTGTCTGTTCCCCTCTCAGCCTTGCTCCTCTCAGCCCTCTCTGCAGATAAGGGCTGCCATCTGGGTTTGCAAATAGAGGCTGCAGGAAGGCTCAAAGGAGCAAGATGAGGACAGAGGAAGGAAGGACAGAAAGGTCTGTTTGTGGCTGTGGAGGAGAAAATCACCTTCAGAGATTGAGCCTTGGCACAGAACATCAATAAAAAATGACTGCAGACAAAACTGACCTACAACTAGTTACCTGACAGAGCTCAAAAGGTAGTTCCCATTGGGAAATCATTCTCAAGTGCAGGGCTGTCCTGCACAGTTCTGTTAAAATTAGATGCAGGCCTGATGTTGCACCTACCCACACACATATGTGCATATATGTATCATAGAAATCACAGGATCATTGGGTTAGAAGGGACCTTTCCAATCCAATCCCTTGCTAAAGCATGCTCCCTACAGCAGGTTACAACTCCAGAGAAGGAGTCTCCACAACCTCTCTGGGCAGCCTATACCATTGCTGCCACTCTCACTGTGAAAAAACATTTTCCTCATGTTTGTATGGAACTTCCTATGTTCCAGTTTGTGCCTTTCTGTCACTGGGCATTGCTGAGAAGAGCCTGGCCCCATCCACCTGACATAATTTCCTCTTAGTGAATCCGTGTTGACTGATAGCCTCTTTTTCTTCCACTTGCCAGGAGATAACATCCAAAATAAGCTCCTCCATCACATTCCCATAGGTGGAGCTGAGGCTGTAGGTGCCTGACTCCTCCTTCTTGACCTTTTTAAAGACTGGAGTGGCATTGGCTCTGCAGGCACATCTCCCATTCTCAATGACTTTTCAAAGATGATAAAGTGGGAAATCACTTCTGCCAGCTCCCTCAGCATTCATGGGTGCATCAGGATCCCTGGATTCATTTGCGTTGATTTTGCCTCCATCATCTCTGACCACATCCTCCTTGACCAAGTGAAAATCCTCCTTTCCCCAGACTGTCTCTCTAACTCCAGGGTCTGGGATTCCTCATGGGCAAACTTAGCAGTAGAGACTGAAGCAAAGAAGACATCCAGTATCTCTGCCATCTCAGCATCCTGTTAACAGGGAACACACCTCATTCAGCAATGGGACACTTTTTCCCCTGTGATCACTTTGCTACTGACATACTTAAAAAAGCCTTTTTTGTTGTCCTTGACCCCCCCCTAGAATTAATTCCAAATGGGCCTTAGCCTTCTTTGTGGCATTCCTGTAGGCCCTGATAATATTTCTGTATTCTTCCCAAGTTGCCAGACCACTTTTCCACATTCTATAGAATTCTTCTTCCATTCATGTTTTTTTTTTCTATGATCTTCTTGCTCATCCCTGTGTGTTTCCTGCCACCTTTGGCTGATTTCTTAAGGATCTTGAGCTTGGAAGAAGGGATGCTTGAATGTCAACCAATTCTGGGCCCTTTCAATGTTCTAACCTATGGGATGCCTCCAAGTAGGTCCATGAAGAGGTCAAAAATGGCTCTTCTGATGTTGAGGGTTGCAATCCTACTTACTGCTTTATTTTTTTCATTTCCTTCACTATCTCATGGTCGCTGCATCCAAGGCTGCCCACAGCCTTCAAATTCCCAGCTACCCCTTCTCTGTTTGCCCCTACAAGGTTGAGAAGCACATCTCTCTTCGTTGTCTCCTTCACCACCTGCATCCGAAACTTATCTTCCATGCACTTTATGTATTATGTATGAAAATATGTATGTACAGTACTTAGAAAATGCAATTTTTTTTTTTTCTTCTGGCTTTATGTATTAAAGCATACAAATCAAGGTGGTCAGGCACTGGGATGGGCTGAAATGGGCTGTGCAGGGAAGTGGTGGAGTCACTGACTGTGGAGGTGTTCAAGAAACGTTTGAATGTTGTATTGAGAGACATGGTGTAGTGAGAACTATTGGTGACAGGTAAACAGTTGGACTGGATGATCTTGTAGAGGTCTTTTCCAACCTTGGTGATTCTATGATTCTAAGGTTTAGGCCTGAGAGTGATTCAGGGCAATAACCGTCTACCACAGCACATTTCTGGCACGACATTTATAAATACTCATAGATTTCATTGTTAAGAAGTTAAGGGCTTCAGTAGTTTGAACTCTTAAAAATCACTGAGTTTACCTACTACTTTATAATTTCATGGCAGATTTGCATAAAATCCATTCCTGGATTAAAATATCATGGACAGCTTTGTACTACATAGACATCCATGAGCACCGAGAAAATGTCATGATAATTTGGCTAGATCAGAGCCAGGATTTTAGTTAATACTTCACCACAGCTCTGTTAGGGAAACTTTTTAATGTGCTTTACCTCAGTCATATTTCAGTAAATGGGGAACTTACTCTGTATCTTATTAAGCAGGTCAAGTGATTTGATTCACTCAATTCACTTTAATCAGCATCAACATTTTTTTTAGGATACTGCAGGAGCACACTTACCTCCTATTATCTCTTCCTGAGAACAGTAAGTCAGGCTGATTCACCATTATAGTATCAACCGGTAAGCCCAGGACTGTCTGAAGGTCTCCAGTCTGATGAGCATTGATAATTGCACTAGCCAGGATCTTTAAACTGTCAATTGTTAAGGAACGCTGGAACTCATTTATTTGGTGGCCTGGTGGATCACCAAATTCAAAAATCAGCACTTTTGATGGACCAGCTGCATCAGACGACTGCACAACTCGAGCATTTACTGCTGCTCTCCCTCGTCCCCATGATCCAGATCTGCTATGAAAGGTCGTGCAAAACGTCATGTTGGGGCAGTGATATTTCTTTTTGCTAGCATTGTCTGAGATGACTTCCAACATGCTTTCACCTCCCGGCACTCGATAGACTATTCTGACTTGATCATGACCAACCTGCAAGAAATCAGCCAACTGATGCATGATATTTGCCTCACCCTCTTCCCCAGTGGTCTCAGTTACAGTGAAAGCCACATGAAGAGAAAGGCCAGTGACTATTTGTACAGGCTCCTCTTCATGAAGAAGGACATAGAGAAGATTGTCCTCAAAGCTAAAATAATTGGTTCCTGCCCCTTCATTCCACGAGAAGGAAGATAGAGTTGGAGAGATATATTTCCCTTCAGTGAAGACACGAAGGCTGAGGGGTTCATTGTAGAAAATAGCAAGGGGCAGTCTGGTTGAGTTCTGCCCACTGAGGAGGTAGAGTCTGAAAATCAGAGGCGTAAGGTCTGGGAAGCAAACTGTTGTGAGTCTGGTGGTTGGCAGTACAGAGAAGAGAGCAGAAGGGTGCTGTGCAGAACGACACGATGCATCTGAAGCTCCGTCACTGAAGGTATCCATAAAGCTGCCAGTCACTGCTACTACTGGAAACAGGTCCTGCTTGACCATGCTGGAGTCTAAATTTTCCAGGATGACAAATGCATAGTCTGCCTGTTTGCAGAAGTAGCCTTGTACTGAGGGCTTGAAGACACACTTGCTGTCATCTCTGTAAATTCCTGGAAGGACAAGCAGAGGTGGGGAAAGAAAAAAAAAAAAAGTATCAGATGTCATCTCAACAGTTTGTGCTACAGCTGCGTATTTTCCCATTTGGTGCTCAAAGTCACTTTTGCAGGTGCTAAAATTCTAACTAGTTTTGAGAGGTCTGGACGCTATTGGTATTAAACAGATTGAAACTACATCTACCTGAAGAAGACCTTAACCTGAAAATAGTTGAGAACTGGTAGTACGTGGGCTGCTCTGAAAGTCATGCCTTCTTTTTTATGATGCTTATCGATGTTGGTGGGATGACAGTAGAGGCGGAACCTTCCCAGCAATATGCTATTACATGTTGTTGCCATGTGATAAATGGCAGCAGAGGGGCAGTGACAAGACGTGGTGTCACTACTATGAGTCAGAGTCAAAACAGAGGTCCATGGACCAGCAACATGTGAGTTCCTCATTGAAGAAAATGTTCAAGACACAGATCTCAGTAGGTAAAGTGATATGCACTGTCTTTGGGATAGAAAATGGGTTTGATCCTTCTGGATTTCCTGGAACCCAGACGAACCATCAACTCTGATAGCTACGTCATGATGCTGGCTAAGCTGAAGACTTGAACTTTCAGAGTCAGACCAGAGAAGACAACCTTTCTCTTACAGCCCCAATGACAGTCTGAAGACCACGGACCACGTAGCCCATCTTGGCTGGGCCATCCCACAGTCAAGTCCGAATTTTGCATACCCTAACTTCCATCTGTTCAGGCTGAAGAAAAATGGACTGCAACATCTTCCTAGCAAACAACGGTATCATAATAGCTGTGGAACAGTGGATCATCTCCACTTGTGCAGATTTTTATGAGCAAGGCACGTGGATTCTAGTTCATCGCTAGTGAAAATACACAGCTAATGGTGGTGACTTTGTTGAAAAGCTGTGTTTTGTAGCTGAGAACTTGCTCTATCAAATAGTGCTATTGTGCTCTCTGAATCTGTTGTAGTTTCCACGGAAACAAATAAGAGGCATTACTTTCAGAGTGCCTTACGCATATTTGCCCTGTTCATTCTAGAAAATTAATTACATCCACTGTTGAAGGAGTAAGTATGACAGAAGGACAATTGCTCTAAGTCATTTGGACCTCTTAGGGTAGCTATACCTATAAGTATGACCCATGGGAATGCAAAAGCAACTTTAGGGAATACTTCATGTGAACATTTTTCATGAAATGTAACAGGAGCTAAGACACTTCCATATATTCCAGAATCTGCAAGCCAATCCCTTTCTAAGTGTCTGAGGAGATGAGTCATTAGAACCCTTTTATGGATCTGTGCAGAGGAGATATAGTCCATGCAGTCCTCTGCGTTAGGATACGTTCCATCTGATCAAATGTTAGTCTCTGCTTTAACATGGGAGAAATTGTGCCTCAGGCCACAGTGATGAGATCATCACTGATTATAAAGAGAGAATAAAAGTAAATGAGTTCAAATACAGGCACCAACAACATAAACACTTCTGCCCGAAGCATCGTAGGAAAAGATGTGTGTTTCTGTTTTTCCTTCCTTCCTTCAAAACAAAATCAAAGGAGGAATTTGCTGCCATAGCCAGCTATAATCCTCCTTTCCTCCCAAGCCTGCTCTCCCCTAGTTAGCTGTGCTTGTGAGTGCATTAGGCAAATCTCAGCCAACGTCTAAACTTACTGAGCTCCTTGTTCAGTAGTCCTGGGGACGTGTATACAGATCAGCAATGTTTAGTATTAATGATAAAGGGAGAGACATCCATGAGAGCCACAAAGTTCTGAATGAATAGAATGGCATTTGTGCCCTTTTAGAGGCACGACATCACGACTGGTAAAGTCACTACTAGAAGAAAATGACAGGCTGCTGGAAAAGAGAGGAGCTTGGAGAAAGCAGGCTGGCTCCTGGAATCCCACGGACATTTACCTATGACTTATTTCAAGGGGATTCCGCATGTGCAGACTCAAAGAGCATTTCTCACTCCATTCATCACAGAGGAAAACAGACAAATTACACAAATGTCACAGGCTGCTCAGGAAGGAGGTCCCAGTGAGACAAGACCTATAGAAAAAACACTCTATTTTCAGACACCACCTTGTTGTTTTCCCTTTTCTCCCTTTTTCTTAGCTTTACCTTTCCCTTTCTAGCTGTACCAGAAGGACTGTTTTGCGATGGGTGTCTGCTAGGGGCAAAGGGAGAGGGAGCAGCATCTTTGTTCGCCCTGCAGCACGCAGCCAGCCCCAAAGGTTGGCAGATCTCATTTGCTCTGCTGGAAATGTTCAAGACACTCCATCTCCCTCCAGAGACACGAGACCTGCCAATATTCTGTGATTTCCTAGGACTTCCCTTTGCCTTGCCACGCAGCTTTGCTCGCCTCCCTGCACGCCCATGCATGCACACGCACTGCTGCTCGTCTCCTTCCAAACGGCCTTATCTGCCACTCACAATTTCTGCAGCCTGCAATTTTGATCACTTTTAAATGAAACCCATGCTGGCCTTAGTAATCATAATGTCATTTGCAATTTACCACAAAACACGTTTATTCAGTTAGTAGCACATTGGAGAAAGAGAACTCCATATGAACTCGCCGCTGAAGCCCTAATCTGATTATTTCCTCATGAAAATCCAAGCAGGGGTGCTTGTAAGAGGGGCCTGAGAGGAGAGGGAAAAAGTGAGGCCTGGCCACAGCTGACTCTCATAATCAATGCGAATAGATAAGCGACACGGTGCGTCAGGGCCAGCAGCTAATCCGCCCCAGGGCTTTCCTCTAAAAAAGGCCAGGGTGGACAGGGCTTAATAAATACTGAGTGACCACCGAACATTGAGCTGACATGTGCTATTTACATTGGCAATGAGCAATAACAGTGATAAATTCCAGAAGCTCCCCTCGTTCGTAAATGGGGTGAAATCTGATTAAACGGGTTCTATTTGTGCGCGCGTGTGCGTTTGCACTTATGTTAGAGATGGAAAAAAAAATGGGGGGAAAGCAAGAGAAATCAGTGAGTCACACAGCAGGGGGGTTGAATCTAGACGGTCGTCGTGGTCCATTTTCATCCCAGGCCGTTCTCTGATTCATTCTATGAGTCAACTGGAGACCCTAGGAATGGGTGGGAAGATGGAGGAGACGTTGTGTGCCCTGCTTAGTGCATGAAAGAGAGAAACAGGAGACAGAAAGCATCTGCGCCTTTGCTTTCCACAGATTCCCTTACCATCGAGCCAACATTACTATTTAATTATAGATATAACATGCACGCACACACGGCCACACACAAACATATATATCTATATGAGATTTGAGCACTCAGGTTGCTTCTAGGGGCTCCTGACAAATATTAACTTTGTGTCAATATTTGTCCTTCCTGTCGTGAAATGAGGATTTTCCACCTCATTTCACATTTGAAAAGAAAAATGTGCCGAGGGGGTCCTCTTTGCTTAGGAAAAAAAAAACAAAACAAAAAAATACAAAAAAAAAAACCAGCCAACAACAACAACATCTCATATCCTTTATTTAGAAAAATGGAGCGGGAGGGAAGGAGGGAAGAGTGCTTTTAAAATAGATGTTTTGACTTAAAGGCACATAGAGTCCTTTGCAAGTCTCCTGCCTTTTCCCCAGTTCCCCAACGCCAAATAAATAAAATAAAATGAAATAAATTCTACATTTAAAATCGAATGAAATACATCAACATTAATGATTTTCCCCTTCAGGTTAACACCACCATTTCCTTCAATAATTTTTTACCCGTTTCATGATAGATCTCACAATTCATGGTACAAGGAAAAATACAGTAGTTTTTGGGGGGGTTGTTTTGTGTTTTGTTTTGGTTTTTTTTTTTGACAAAAACAAAAGGCAACGTCAGGTTTTTATCAAAATAAAATAAATCTCCCACAATTTTCTTTCCATCTGACTGGATTTGCCCGTCAGTTATTTCTAATTTAACTACAATTATAGTTACGAAAATATAAAAGCAAGCAGGGAAGGGAGAGGGAGAGGAGAGATAAATGGGATGCTGTTTAGAAATTGCGATTCATTGGCCTTGGGCTGGCCAGCACATATCTTTGCTGAGGGGGAAATATTCATCAGCATTAACTGTTCCTTTTGACCCGCTGACATTCAAATGTGAAATAAGAAAGGCCCAGCAACAGGACTTGGGAAATGTGGCAATGTGCAAAGGTAAATTATTCTGAGGTCAGTCGTTTTTGTAGTGCAAAAGGTTTTCTATGTTTCTTGAGTTCAGATGTCCCCTGTAAATAATTTTGGACCCAGTTCTTCTATCCAATCCCTAGCACAGGCTCCTCGTGCTTTTGAGCTCATCCTTTGAAACCAATGGCATTAATCTTGTAGATCTTCGTGTGCAGAAGTGCAGGCGAGCCTGTCACCTTCAGCAGATGTTGAGACAAGCCATTCCCCATCATTTTTAGAAACCCCACTGATTGTAGATTAGGAATATCATGCAACTGAATGTACCAGTTTCCACATAGAGGGTGAATAAACTGATACGTCTCTTCTGCACAACTAGCAATATGATGAGAGGGAATGGCCTCAAGTTGCACAGGGGAGGTTCAGGTTGGATAATAGGAAAAATTTATTCTCTTTTAAAAGAGTGGTGAAGCAGTGGAATGAGCTGGTCAGGGAGGTGGTGGAGTCTCTGACCTGGAGGTCTTCAAGAAATGCTTAGATGGGCTACTAATGGACATGGTGCAGTGGGGAATTACTGGTGGTAGGTGGATGGTTGGACTGGATGGTCTTGGAGGTCTTTTCCAACCTTGGTGATTCTATGACTCTATGACAAGCAATGCCACGAAGTTTTTGCACACAGTGTGCGCTGGGAACAGACACATGGCAGTGCATGGAGGTGAGAGTGATTGCTCATACATTTGTGTAAGCACGTGTGTGAGACAAGGGACCAGTGTGCAAATAAAAAGAGTGTTTGCTTTAGGCTGCTAATTCTTTCTCCTAAAGAAAATGATTTTTGAATGAAATGAGCCTCATAAGATCACATGGTGTGTGA